TTTTCTTTCTTTCTTTCTTTTGATATGTTATTTCATCTCTGCCATTTGTGAGGGTCTCTATGCAGTTATGATGAACAGAATTTCTTAAATTCATGCAAGATTATAATTTTAATGAAACAAGAAGTAACTGGGTTTGTGTCTTTGAAGATGGATGCTTTGCTTACAGTTAAGCAGTGCCAGTATTTTTAAATTGGGAAAGTTACTCCATCTGAATTCTTTACGATAAAGCTTGAAAAAACTGTTGTATTTTTATTAGAGGCGACCGCCCAAATCCAGTGCCCCGTCCTAGTCCGTTCCCTGCCTCTGGGGAGTAAGAGCTGCTGCAAGAGAGGGGAGATTTTTCTGTCTTTCACTGTTCTTGCTCTGTTCTCTGTGTGAGCAAAAGGGCCGCTACTATCTGATGAGCCTCCATAAAGAATTTATTCTGAGACAGCAAACAGTGCTAATTACCAGTACCGAATGTCTCGGCTTAAAGTGCTGCAGTAAGTTGTGGAATTTGGGACGTTTGTTAGACTACTATTTTATTAGCGTTTAAGCTGCTAAAGCGCTCCAGAAACATTTGGTATTTTTCTGCTAAGACAGGAATTTTCAGAGTATTCAGTAATAAGTTATGTAATTTGCAAATTAAATTGCCTGAAGAAAAGTTTAATGCTTCAGCATAACTTTTGTCTTAAGGGGCTCATTGATGCGGATGAGATGTATATTTTGTTTCGACCTAGGAGTGCTTACAGAAGTCTGGGGGAAGAGCAGGGCTTGCTGGGACAAAGCGAGTGGGGTAGATTTGCTGGAGCGGTCTCTAACGGTAGCTCAGTTTCCGACTGTTATCAATTAACCGCTTGACAGCCTTTAGGGTTGTGATGTCTTTGTTTTAAGGTGAAATCAAAGGCTTTGGTCAACAGATTGTGTTGTCTGTCAAAGCCCAGTGCCACTAAACTAGTCTACTTTTCATGCGTTCCCAGTGCAAAGATGGCGCTGTTTCCAGCTCTTTGAAGGCCTAAACCAATGTAGGACTATCTCAGGTTGTCTTGGCAAGGCTTCACTCTACCTTAACTTTGCAAAGAAGCAGGTGATCATTGCTGTGATTTCTATTAGGATCTCCTGGAATGCAAATTGTCAATTTTTGTCTTTCGACAAGTGCATGTCTTGTTCCCTCTGCCCTTGGTAATTTGGTTTTATCAAGTCAGCAAATTAATCCTGTCTCGTTTTGTGTTCTGAAGAAATCTGTTCTGCAGAAACAAATTAAATTAAATTGCTTCAGTATACCAGCACTTTGTAAATTTAGCCAAATCAGGAGATTGGTTCAAATCAGGAGATGTATTTCATACTGTATTTACCTAAGTGGCCTTACTGTCATCGTTATTTACATAGCAGCATACGTATGCTTGCTTCTTTAATAACGCACAAAGCCAAGGCCTTGGCTCATCTGGAAATGGTGGCCTGATGCCGGAGCGTGGATGGGACTAGGAACGGGGCTTGTCCTTGCAGGTCACTGCGACTGGAAACCCACAGAGGTAGCTATTTAAAGACTGGAAGAAAGGAAACTGAGGTGCCCTGATTACTCAGAGGAAATTCAGTAGAGCCAAAAAAGAGAAATGACGGTGCATGAATACCGTGTCCCACACTATGTGTCTTCTGCCAGCTTCTCCGGATGCATCTCAGCCTCCAGGTCAGCTGGGTTCGAACTAGCCCCCAGTACAAACTCCTGGTTGCGTCCACATGAGCAGCGCGTTAGTTTGGGGCTCGGCTTGGGATTTCTCTGCTTGGGTCACCAGGGAGGGAAGCGCAGGCAGTTTTGTGGGTTGACTGAATGAAGCTGCAGGTTTGCCTGTGGAGAAAATATGATCAGCCAAATACATTTCAGCTTATAAATATTTTTTCCAAGGTAAGTTGTCGTCTACTCTTTAGCGATTCCTTGCACAGAAGTTGTCAGTACTGTCAATTGCTCTTATTGCCGCTCTTGCTACCTTTCCTAACTCGCTGCATCCTTTCTGCAGCAAGGGACCAGATGGTCACAGCTTATGTTATTCTAAGGATATAGCAGGGGCACATCAGAAAAATTAGTACCTGCAGTTCTAGCACGGGGCAACAGCACATGAGCTGTCATGAGTACAAAGGGTGCTGCTGGAGGGTCTCTTGGTCATGGAAATGGGCTTTGTCCACACTTGGGTCTGCCAGGTTGAAGAAGTATGAGCTGCCACCTCGGCCCCTCGCAGGAGCAGTGGGATGGGTGCATGCGACCTACCAGGTCTCAGACTAGAGGGTCTCCCTTTCGGTTTCAGTCTTGGCATTTTGCATCTTCTAACAGGGAAACTCCCTTCGCTTCAATGCAAATCAGGGTAACTGCTGCGATCACTGAGTTTACATAGAGCTACCCCACCTGACTACTTGGCCTAGGGCGCATGAGGAGAAATACATCTCCCCATTTTTGTCTTCCTCTGAGTATTGTATCTAAGTGCTTTTGTTAGTGCGCAAGCAGTGTCCCTCATAGAAATGGAGTTTTGCCTGACAATTTTGTAATAGTTTTTGTGTGGCTTCCTAGTTGGAGAACATTTTGAAACAGCAGTAAAACACATTTTGTTCCCTCTTTCCGAAAAAGAAACATCTCCTTTTGGAAGGAAGGAGGGAGTGAATTTGCATGATAATGAGCAAATTGTTAGGAGCTCCTAGATGGGCGTTGACATAAAGGCTGGTGGAATTGAGATGTTCTCCTCTGGTGCATTGCCCTCCACGTTCTCTCGCTCTCGCAGTTGCTTGTGCACCCTTCCGCTATGGAGCAAGTAAGTTGCTGTTTTCACAGTCAGCAATAGTAAGGTGTCACCGCTTGGCTAACGCTGAATGCTTAGGAAGTGAATCATTTGCCCTCAGCACTTGCTTGCACACCCAAACCCTTTCCCCATTGAGAACCAGTGATGGAGGCACGTGCAGTTCACTATTGCACCTTCTAGCCAGCTGGTTTATATTGCACCTCTTTTACTAGCTTTTTTTGACATGTCCTGGTACTGTCAGAATACTGCCATGTACTAACTGGATAAGAATTTTGCTTCAAAGCCTAGGATTTACCTAGCTGCTGCTCCACGGCCAGCGTGCTGGGGGGGGGGGGGGGGGGGGAGGGGGTGTGTAGGGATTTAAGGTACTGTTTCAGGTGTTGGTTTGTCCTGCATTTACTTTCTCAAAGTGAAACTGCAGATGGGCACATCTTTTCTCCTTCTTGTCCCTCTGTCTTTTTAACACCTGCATTTGCTCCTCCTGGTTTGAGGAAGCTGCAAGTGACATTACCCCCTCCCCCCCCCGGCCAGCTGTTGCGACGTCAGGACGCCAGGTAGACTGGCATTTGCTTGGCCCCGGGAGAAGTCATCGCCGCGACTGCCCGGAGAGTCTGGCTGCAGGCGAAATCCATATGCAATGCTTCTGTCAGCAAAGCCAGGCTGGAAGAGACTTTATAATAAATATTCACATCTGCTGCTCTGGACACTCTAATCCATCCTACAGATCTTTGCTGTGTCAGGCTTTGTTCTGGATGAAGAAGCCTGGTAGTTATAAAGGTTTGCAAATAGGGCATATTTATCATGGTTAGCTCTACTTTCTAGTTCCCGTTCTTGCACAAATATCCGTGGCCACTCTAGGCATAACTTGTGCTTAAATATTCTCAAGGCATTTGTAAGATGCTTTGGCCTATGTGTTTCCTTTGATAAATGGGGAAAGTGGCGTTTGTTTACTTCCCATGCTGTCAAACGAAGCAGGGGGGGATCTTGACGAGCAGCGCGGCGAACATCGTTGTCGTGAATTAGTTGGAATGGAAGGACAGTAAATGTCTTGGATAAAGTATATATCGTGTAGTCACACGCAAGGCCTTATGGCTGGCACGTTCTTAAAACTGGGACTTATTCTTCCATACTAACTATTATTGGGGATGTGTGAGCCTACTGGCTGCTTGGTGAGTAGCTTAGATGACGAAAAGTGGCAAAATCTCTCCCGTGTTTCACAATCTTTCCAGGAAAACAATGGCCCCAGTGCCAGATTGACTTTGTCAGGGTCAGGATTAATTATTCTCCTGCCGGTGAGGTCTTTGCTTTCAGAGAAAAAATACTTATACATAAGAAGAGCTGTAATCTTGTGGAGGGTATATGGAACTTGCTCCTAATAGAAGGTGTTTGACCAAGATCATGACTTGAAATGCAATGATCTCTTTGTTGGGCGCGCCACATCTGCTTGGAAATGGAAGTATTGATTCTTTAGGGGTTTTTGGGTTTTTTTTTGGTACGTGAAACTCATGATTGTCGTAGTTAATTTCTAAAAGGAACATGCTTTACCTGGTGGCTGGGTAAATAAAAGGCGCTTAAAACATATCACTTACCAGCTGTTCCCTGTGCTGTTCTTTGAGCAGAAAGGTAGTAAACGTGTAAATACATCCTGCCTCATTTCGAGTGATGAAAACAGTCAGTTTGGTTTGTAAATAAATACATGGAAACTTGGAGCTGGTGAGAACCTTGCTGAGTTGTTTATCTTTCTGCTGTTAAATCCAATTCTGTACTAACATTTTAACTAGGGTTGGCTTTTCTGTAAGGACCTAAGGGAGCTAGGCACTCGGTTCGGTTCGATGCCTGACCTCTCTTACAGTGTGTTGAAAACCTGCGTCTTAAATTCTCTCGGTGCTATGGAAGAAAAGCAATATTGATAGCCTGGCCTGCTTCTCTTCCCTCTAGGTATCGGAAGAGCACCTGTTTCTCTGGGGCTCGGTCTGCAGGTCAGAATCTGGCCCTAAATAATTGTATCCAAGTATAATTAGAATAGCTATGCTCTTAATGAGTAGCATCTCCAGGTCTCCAGATTCGCTTAATCGCTGAAATCTAACCTCATTACTATTGATCTATCCGGCTTTCTGATCATTTCTCTCAGAAAAGAGTAGTGTGCAAAGTGTGGGTGTCCTTAAAGTGACAGTCTCAAACTTCCCCGTCGGGCTTTGCCTTTGCAAGCGTGGATAACTTTGCTCTGAATTGCAGGTCGCGTTGTGGCTCTCGCAAGCAACGACGGAACTGTGAAGGTTGTGCAACTCAAATCAGGGCAGCTCGCCAGCCTGGCGGGCCACGGCGATGAAGTGCACAGCGTTATCTTTGTTCACGAGGAGGAGCACCTGCTTTCGGGGGGTGCCGATGGCACCGTTCGTCTCTGGACCTGAGAGCCAGCCTGCCGTTCAGTGGAACCCGACTCTCACGGCTGTGCAGAAAATGATTTGGCGGCATCACAGCGACGGCTTCGTTAAGTGTTTTCGGTTAATGTTTGCAGCGGGCATAATTGCCTGCAAGGACTATAATTCTGCCTTTTATCCGAGTAAAATCCCCACTTTCTCCCTGTCGGTGTTGACTGCGTGTTTTTCTGACCGTCAGGAATCGCTTGTTTCTGGAGAAGCAGCTTTACAATGACGCCTAATGCCAGACCAGCCGAACTGCAAGGCGACTGATTTTGCGTGAAACCCAGCGAGAGGCACCAGGGCTCCGCTCCCCCTTTCCGATCGCAGCCCGGGGAGGGCCGGGGATTGGGGCGGGCGGGGAGGAGGGAAGATGTGAAGTTGTAACACTGCAACAGCGAGGGATTTTCCCTGCAGCGAGCGCTCCGGCCGCCGCCCGGGCAGGGACGAGGCCGAGTTCGGCAGCGCGGCGCT